ATGATCTAACGGTCAAATTAAAATTTGGGCACCTGGGTGCTAACAGTCACTTTTTTTAAAAAATTTACGCACCCAAGCGCTCAAATTGATCCATTTCTCTCATTAGACCACACAAGGCCTTGAATCAAGTCCAAAAGGACCTAATATACCTAATTGACAATAATATATCTTAATCATACTCATATATCGAATTTTGACCCTTCTACAGCCAATTTCCACAATTCACTAACTCTACACACTTTGCCATTTTTTGATATAACTTAGCCTACTTGGCTATTTCCAAACACATTCATACATATTCATGTTCATAATATAATCTTAGCCCCAAATTACTCATTTCATCATAATTTGTCTCTTGGGCTTAATATTCACCAACAATCACAACCACAATTACTCAAATCATTGCCCCTTATTTCAATTCAACATATATGCACACAATTAGGCTAGATTTCACACAATCTCTATTCAAACCATGTATATAACCCTATGACAACTCATTTACACATATATACACAGGTTAGCCAGTTCATTACACAAACTCTGAGTCCACACGGCTTCTAACAATTCAAGTCGATCTTGATTATCTTCCCTTGCTTTGATCACTGCTTGGTCCCGTAAACATGTAATCATGAGGATGAGATAAAAATCTTAGTAACAGAATAACTTACTTATATTGACTATGACATACAACAATATGGAAGTAAACATAATATATCATTCAAATCTCATTAAAATAATATTTTTATCACATGTCTCATTTCATTCTCAACTTTTCATCCATCATATAGGATTCCATAGCCTCTCATAACATATCTCAATGTCCTACTTAGCATGCTAGCATAATCACTACAAACCAAACCTGCAAATCACCTCGACATGGAACCATAGGCTCACCTTATACCAATATACACTTTCAGTGGCCTTGAGCTCACCTATAGTGGTAGATTCATCTGGCTAAAGATGTCCTAATGTACATACAAACTATGGTTTCCCTAATACATACAATGAGGTGTTGTTGACTCCAACACCGTATCACAAAGCCACTAAAAAGTCTCTTATCTCTAACACTGCATCTCAATAGGTACTAAAGAGATCTTCTCTAACACCATATCTCAATAGGCACTAAGAAGAATTATTTCCAACACCACACCCTATCGGGTACTAAGAAAACCTTACCATATGGTCTTAATCATCTTCTCCCCTTGGGTAAACTTTACCCATATGATCATGCTTTCTGAACCATTTAAAGTTCCTATGTACCACTTTATTCATTTCTTACATAACACACAACACACACACACACACACACACTATATATATATATATATATATATTTCATTTGAAATCACATGTCAATGCTCTATTTCAATCAAATTCCATTTCACACAATAATCACGCAATACTATAAAACATGTTCAGTTTCAAATCATTTTATGCACTACATAATGTAACATTTCAAGTTTTAATTCCCTGATTAATTAAACTTAATTAGGGTAATTAAGTAAGTTGAAGCGATATGTGGCCAGAAAGGTCTCATAATTATATTTAATGGTATTTTAGCCCTAGTTGTGGGTCTGGTATCGAGGTGGGCTACCCGAACATTAAAAGGAGAAGAAAAGGAAGAGTTGATGTTGTTGTGCCATACGCTGCAAATTGTAGATCATTAGCCACGGTGCACAGACATTTTTGAGTGAGGGAGGACCTCTTTGTGCTATGCACCATGGCGCATTGTGTGTTTGCCGTGGCGCATGGCCATTTTCTACAATTTATCAGGCGCGAAATGAGACAGAAATAGAAAGAAGAGAAAAAAGAGAATGAAGAGACGTGCCAAAGCTCTATTACAATTTACTTGTGAATGACTTTGGGAGTATTTTAAAGGCTACAAACACCTAAGGTAAGTATCACACTCATTAATCTTCCCATTTCTTCCACATTTATGAGTTTATGGTTAGGGTTTGATAGTGAAAGTAGAATTTCGGTCTATATAGGTTATGGGTCTAAATTTATTGACTCAAATGAAGTTAATGAGGGTAGATTAGAGTGTCTAAACCTAGGTACAATTAGTTTTGGTGTCTTGGGTTGTTGGGCACCATTAATATATAAAAATCTCATTTATTATGGGTGATTAGAAGTTTGTGATGCCATTAATGGGGATGTAATGGCTCATTAATGCTATTGAAGGCTAAAGGTAATTATAAACCTAATGGACAGGTTATAACTCTTGTAGAGAGAATGTTGGGCAATTTAGAAGTAGAAATTAAGGATTTTCATGCTTGGATTGGTAATACTGAAGAAACTCAACTTGGTTGATTGTAGTTTTGGCTCTTGGTCACCTATTGGATTGAAAATTCAAGTTTGGAAGCTAGTTGATTGAGGGGTAAACCTTTGACCTCTCAAAGGTTTGAGGTAACTGGGGTAAACTCTACTTTGGGTAGTTTTATGTTAATTGAATATTAATTGATTACTAAATGTGAATTGTGAATGTTATATGCATGGGATGGATTTTTGAAGTAAAACCATATATTAGTTTCTATGAGCGTATGAAAAAGCTATTTTGGGCTTGAAAATGCAAAATGTGAAGTCAAGAGGATTTTTGAAAAATGAATGTGATGATATGTAGAGGTATTTGTGTGTTAATAAGAAATGAATTTTGAAAAAAATGATGAGAATACACACTTGGGTAGCATATGGTCATAATCCCAACGTAATTGTTGTAATAATGAGTATATGAAAGCAAAAAAGCGAAAACGAGTGAGTATTAATTATGGCATGATCAGTGGCGAGAGTTTTCCTAGGGATTGAGAGTAGAAAAAATCCATATGGTAATTAGGCTGCCCTCTGATGCATGGGGTATAGCCTTGTCCCATAGTTTATTGAGGGACTGTCCTACAATTTGTTGAGGGACTAGAATCTAGCTATCTCCATCGGTTCAATGAGGAGAAGAGCCTAAGGTATGAGACACCCCACGGATTCGAGAATGGGAGAAGCCATGGTTCGAGAGTGAGTCCTGTGATCTTTAGTCAGGTCAAACCTCATGATTGGTGAGTTTGGGTAGTCCAGTCACACGTCGAAGCCCTAATCAGTGTTATAGCCCACGGTTTCAGTCTGAGGAAATAAGGATGATATAAGGTTGGTTGATCATTGTAAATATATGACGTGTCACACATATTAAGTGGTGGCAAGTCACATGAATAATAGGTCATGTCACATATATGAGAATATGGTTACAATGCACTTAGTTATGAGAGTTAGAGATGATATTTAATGATAAATGACAAGATATGATATATGCTAGCATGTTTTGCATACTTGATTTCCTTGTGCATGTATTTAGTTTATAATTTATATATAACTGCATAGGGTAGGTTTAACCTTGGTTACTGAGTGGCTCGACTCACCCTTTTCATTTAACATTTTTCAGGCTCTAGCTCAAGTGTTGAGAGGGAGAAGGCTAAAGAGGTAGAGAATTAGTATATTCCTACTGTATACCTCTAGTTTAGATTTAATTGTGTAATAGTATATGAATTATCAATTCTAGGATGCATGCAAACACACTTATACTATTTTGTTGTTGGAAAAGTTAGATTTGTATTTTGGGCCCTTAGTCTTTATATATGTTGGTATGTATATATATATATATATGTATATGTATATTTATAGGGCTAAAATACTAATGCAAGTGTATAAATAACGATTTGAACATATTTTGAATGATTTAGACAAGATACAATGACAAATTACCTCCCCCTCTATATTTGGTAAAATAGGGTTGAGGAGTAAATTTTTGTTATACTAAGGTTTCAATACTTGTGATGTGTTGTACTAGTAGTCCTAGATCCATTGGATATGGTTCAAGTGTTAGGAAAAGCTTTTAGCACTTATTGAGGGTTTTAGACACCCATTTTGTGTAAAAGTGTTAAAAAGTGGTTTAAATGTGTTTGGATATCCAACTTCCTACTGTGACATGTTTTGGAAGTGAAACCTATGCCATTAGCTAGTTTATGTAAAGAGCTTTTTATAGACACCTAGATCACGTCATTCAGACGTCGGATGGAGTATTGAGGCGAGTTGGAAGTTCCTCGATTCTGCTGTTAAATGACAGCAGAATTAGTAGAAATTTCATCCAACACGCCACGGCGTATAGCGTGTGAGCTGCAACGCGTGGCACAGAGAGCAACACACTGCAGCACAGTATACACGAGCTACCGTGCATTGCCCTGTATTATAGCACATGTTTTGTTTTTCAACTGTTTTTGACTTCTTTCTCTCCTCTGAGGTATCCCATGCTTCTGTAACTTATTTTTACTCTGATATGAAAGATTTTGATTGATTTTAACTTATTTTTATTTAAAAGACTTGGAATCCCTTGTTTTTAATTTAAACCATAGTAATTACCCTTTTGAGTTAAGTCTCGGATTACTAGGAGTTATATTGGTTAATTATAATTAGTGGAGTGGGAATGTTTTAACTTGGTATCAGTGTCTCTGGTTCTGAGAATTGGTCTGTGGTGTGTGTAAAATTATGGTTAAAGATTTGTTATGCATTGCATATAAAAAATTGGCAATATCCTATTACACTTATTATTTTCCTCATCGAGTTAGTACTAACTCCCTTTTTCCTTTTTAGGATTGCTTCCATCCTTAGGAGGGGAGAATATGGTGCAAATAAGAGCCACAAATGTAGGAAATGTATCAGAGAATGTGCAAAGACCAAAACAACAACCGATAAACTAAGAGCAACAACTAGGACCTTAACAGGGTAACAAAGACAATGCCCTAGATGAAATAAGGCATATGATAATGGACATCCAGAGAAGAATGGATGGGTATGATGTGATCCTCAGAAGAAGACCTGGGAAGCATAGCAAGACAGTTGAGAGAGTTGGGGTTGACTAAGAGGAAGCCCGACATGATGTGCACACTGAGCTGCATGGACATAGAGATGAAGAGTATTATGAGGAAAGTATTCCTGAAAGGCCGGTGCGACTAGTGCGGCCTAGGATGAGTGAGTCAGAAGGCTCCATTGATATGGCTTTAAAGCAATTCACGAGGTTGAATCCTTCTTCCTTTGAGGGTTTTGTGGAAGATCGAGCAGCTGAGAAGTGGATCGATAGGCTTGAGACCATCTTCTTAGTCATGACCTATACGACTAAGAAGAGGGTCCTTTTAGCCACTTTCATGCTTGAAGATGCAGTAAAGCAATAATAGGAAAGTATGAGGCCAGTAGATGGCTCACAACTAACATAGATAGAGTTTAAAAGGTGATTCTCCAGCCATTACTTCCATCCTCATTTCAAGCAGAGAAAGAGGTAAAATTTCACAAACTTCAACAGGGAAATATGAATGAGGAGGAGTTTATAGCAAAGTTCAATGAGCTATCAAAGTACTCCACCTACCTAAGTCATCATGATGATGAGTATTAGAAGGTTGAGTAGTTTCTTGATAAGATGAGGCTTGAATTCAGTCAGCAGTTAGCTGCCTTTGACATTACTTCCTTCAAGGTTATGTGTAACAAGTTTATAACTATTGCCAGAAGGAGTAGGGTGGTAGAAGAGAAGAAGAGAGATGGTCAAGGGAGATTCTCTTCCTATACAGGCCCTATGGGCAGAGTGAGTTAGAAGTCAGGTTTTAACCTAAGTATGTTTGGGAGGTACAGTGTTGAAGGAAGCAAGAAGAGCTTTTAGAAGGGGTCCCAAACTAGGGGATCCAACCATAGGAGCAATATCCCGAAGAGTATGGGCGGGGTCAAAAATCAAACTTCCCAGTAGGGATCTACGGCTCCATCTACTATGATGCCAGCTAGAGCTCTGCAGTGTAATAGATGCGAGAAACATCACCAAGGGCAATGTTGGGTTTGCTTCAAATGCAACAAGGTAGGACATATAGCCAAGTTTTGCACTTGCTCCTAATCAAAGATCCGCTATCCTAGGAGGAGTCTTCATTATGATTAGAGAAGAGGCTAATGCTTCACCAAAGCTAATTAGAAGTAAAATCTTACTTTGTGGTCACTAGATAGATACTTTGTTTAATTCTGGTGCCATACACTATTTTATATCTGATGATTGTGCTAAGAGACTAAAGTTGCATGTGCTTGAAATGCCATTTTCCATGAATCTGTCTATACTGGCTGGTGCATCTGTGAGGACCAGTCAGGCTTGTTTGAAACTAAAATTAAAGTTTGGTGATAGAGTCACTGTTATTGACTTGATCTACTTACCTTTGAGTGGCATTGATGTGATAGTAGAGATGAATTGGTTGTTTGCAAATGGTGCGACACTCGAATGTAATAGAAAGATAGTCTCCTTACCAATTTACACAGCAACATTTGTTAACCTTGAACCTATCAAGTCATTGTCAGTAATGGACTATGAGACTTTCAAGTTCTTGTCAGCCCTACAAGTAGAGAACTCAATGAAAGAGGGTTGTCAGGTTTTTATGGTCTACTGTTCTACACATGACGTGTATGATGGAGGAATTGACATGATTGGTGCAGTGAATGAGTTCCTAAAGGTATTTCATGACCGAATGTTAGGATTGCCACCAGAAAGAGAGATTGAATTCTCAATTGATTTAGTACCCAATATCGAGCCAATCTTTAAGGCTCCATATCGTATGGCTCCTGTAAAATTGGAAGAATTGAAAAGGCAGTTAGAAGAGTTGTTAGAGAAAGGATTCATCTGGCCGAGTGTATCACCGTGGGAATTGCCTGTGTTGTTTGTAAAGAAGAAAGATAGGAGTATGATATTGTGCATTAACTATAGGTAACTCAACAAAGTGACAATTAAGACAAGTATTCATTGCCATGGATTGATAACTTACTTGACCAACTTGCCGAAGCTACAGTTTCCTCTAAAAGTGACCTGAGGTCTGAATACCACTAATTGAGGGTTAAGGCAGATGATGTGCCTAAGACTACATTTAGGACATGATACAGGCACTATGAGTTCTTGGTAATTCCCTTTAGTTTGACAAATACTCCTGCCATCTTTATGGACACATGAATAGGATCTTCAGACACTACTTAGACAAATTTATAGTGGTTTTCATTAATGACATCTTGATATATTCTAGAGATAAGGAAGAACATGTAAGGCATCTAAGAATAGTACTACAAGTGTTGAAGGAGCACAAGTTGTATGCCAAATTGAGCAAGTGTGAATTTTGGCTACGAGAAGTGAAATTCTTGGGACATGTCATTTATGCTAATGGTATAGTAGTAGATCCATATAAAATTGATGCAGTATTATAGTGGGAGAGACCAACATCAGTAATCGAGATAAGAAGTTTCTTGGGTTTAGTCGGCTATTATCGGAGATTCATCCAAGGGTTTTTTCAGATTGCTTCTATTATGACGAAGCTGATGAAGAACGATTAACTATTTTTTTGGACGGAGAAGTCTGAAGAGGCATTTTAGACTCTGAAGGAGAAATTGACTACAGCACCAGTGTTAACTATTTCATATCCTAAATGGCCATATGTGGCCTACACCGATGCATCACTTAAGGGAATAATAGGCTGTGTGCTAATGCAAGATGATAGAGTTGTGGCTTACACATTGGGATAGCTAAGACTGCATGAGGAGAGTTATCCAACTCATGACCTTGAGTTAGCAGTGGTTGTATTTGCCTTAAAAATATGGAGGCACTATCTCTATGGTTCATAGTTTGAGGTATTCAGTGACTATAAAAGCCTCAAGTATTTAATTGATTAGAAGGAGTTGAATATGCGATAGAAAAGGTAGATGAAATTTTTAAAAGATTATGATTTTGAATTGAAGTACGATTCGAGGAAGGCCAATGTAGTGGTCGATGCTTTGAGTCACAAGACTATATATGTTACGAGGTTGATGATCCATCAGTACAAGCTACTAGAGGGTTTCTCTAATGAACACCAGAATAGTCCAGATTTCATCGTGTATAACTTGAATACAATGGTAATCACTAATGAATTCTAGAAAGACTTGAGAAAAGCTCAACCTAAAGACAAGTATCTGTTAAGGATTAGAGATAATATTGAGGCAAATAAGACTAATGACTTTTGGTTCAATGATGATGGGTTGGTAGTGTGTAAAGATTGAGTATGTGTACCTGATGATAAAGGGGTTTGAGAGACCATTCTAGCTGAAGCTCATTGGAGTAAGTTAACCATTCATCCAGGAACCACCAAGATGTATCAAGATGTGAAGAGTTGGTGGTGTTGGCTGAGTATGAAGAGGGATGTGACAGAGTACGTATCCCAATGTCTGACTTGTCAGAAGGTGAAGATTGAACACCAAATACCCTCAGGATTGCTATAACCATTAGAGATTCCCATATGGAAATGGGATTGTGTTTGTATGGATTTTATTATGGGATTGCCATGTACCTAAGCGAATCAAGATGCTATTTAGGTAATTGTAGATAGATTGACCAAGTCTACTCATTTCTTAGCTATTAGAGCTGATTATACCCTATAGAAGCTTGCAGAGGTCTATATTCAAGAGATTGTCAAGTAACATGGAGTGCCAAAAGAAATTATGTCAGATTACGGTCCAAGGTTCACCTCAAACTTTTGAAAAGCACTGCACGAGGCCATAGGTACAAAATTGAAGTTCAGTATGGCTTATCACCCTCAAACAGATAGTCAAACGGAGAGGACTATCCAAACTCTAGAGGATATGCTATATACTTGTACCATTAAGTGGAGTGGCAGTTAGGAAAAGCACCTACCTTTGGTATAATTCTCTTATAACAACAGTTTTCATACAAGCATTCAAATGGTTCCATATGAAGCCTTGTACGGCAGGAAGTATAGATTGCCACATTGTTAGATTCAGTTGAGTGAGAGAAGCATCATGGGTCCTAATTTGATAGATCAAACCACTGAGAAAATTGAGACTATCCGTCAAAAGTTATTGATTGCTCAGAGTCGACAGAAGAGCTATGCAGATAAGAGGAGGAAACCGTTAGAGTTTATGGTAAGAGACCATATATTTCTGAAGGTCACACCTATGACTAGAATTGGGAGGTCTATTCGTGCAAGGAAATTGACTCCCAAATTTCTTGGGCCATTTAAAATTCTTAAGAGAATTAGGCCTTTGGCATACTGGATTGCCCTACTTCCTCATCTATTAGTTGTGCATGATGTATTCCATGTGTCTCAATTGAAGAAATATCAATCTAACCCTTCACATGTGATTGAGCTCGAGGATGTGGAGTTATGTGAGAATTTAACATCTCAAGTAGAGGCGGGTTACCTAGACATCAAAAAGAGAAGAAAAGGAAGATTTGATATTGCTTGGCCACACGCCGTGGCATGTAGATCATCGACCACAGCGTACAGACATTTCTAAGTGAGGGAAGACCTCTCTATGCCATGCGCCACAGCGCATTATGCGTCTGCCATGGCACATAGCCATTTTCTGTAATTTATTAGATGTAAAATGAGACAAAAATAGAAAGAAGAGGAAAGAGAGAATGAAGAGACGTGCTAATGCTTTGCTAGGGTTTACTTATGGATGACTTTGGGAGTATTTTGAAGGGTACAAACACACAAGATAAGTATCATACTTATTAATCTCCCCATTTCATCCACATTTATGAGTTTATGGTTAGGGTTTGATAGTGGAAGTAGAATTTTAGTCCATACAAGTTATAGGTCTGAATTTGCTGACTCAAATGGAGTTAATTGGGGTAGATTAAAGTATCTAAACCTAAGTATAATGAGTTTTAGTGTCTTGGGTTGTTGGGTACCATTAATATCCAAAAATCTCATTTATTATGGGCAGTGAGAAGTTTGTGATGCCATTAATAGGGATTTGATAGCTCATTAATGCTACTGAGGACTAATGGTAATTATAAAACCCACTGGACAAGCTCCAACTCTTGTAGAGAGAATGATGGGCAATTTAGAAGTAGAAATTAAGGGTTTACATGCTTAGATTGGTAATGTTGATGAAATTCAACTTGGTCGATTGTAATTTTAGCTCTTGGTCACCTATTGGATTGAAAATCAAGCTTGAAAGCTAGTTGATTGAGGGGTAAACCTTTGACCTCTTAAAGGTTTGAGGTAATCAGGGGAAACTCTACTTTGGGTAGTTGCATGTTAATTGATTGTTAAATATGAATTGTGAATCTTATATACCTGGGATGGATTTTTAAAGTAAAACTATATATTAGTTTCAATGAGTGTATGTAAAAGCTATTTTTGGCTTGAAAATGCAAAATGTAAAGTTAAGAGGCTTTTCGAATTATGAACATGCTTATGTTATTGGAAAATGAATGTGATGATGTGTAGAGGTATTTGCGTTGTAGAGGTATTTGCGTGTTAATGAGGAATAAATTTTGAAAAAATGATGAGAATACATACTTGGGTAGTGCATGGTTGTGAGCCTAATGTAATTATTGTAATAATAAGTATATGAAAGCGAAAAAGTAAAAGCGAGTGAGTATTGATTATGGCATGATTAGAGTTCGCTTAGGGATTAGGAGTATAGAAAATCCATATGGTAATTAGGCAGCCATCCAGTACACGGGGGTATAGTCTTGTCCTATAGTTTGTTGAAGGACTGTGCCATTGTTTGTCGAGGCACTAAAACCTAGCTATCTCCACCGGTTCAATGAGGTGAATAGCCTAGGATATGAGACACCTCAAGAATTCGAGAATGGAGAAAGCCATGGTTCGAGAGTGAGTCATGTAATCTTAAGCTAGGTCACACCTCATGATTGGTGCTCTTAGGTAGTCCAGTCACACGGACGGAGCCCTAATCAGTGTTATAGCCTACAGTTTCAGTTTGAGGAAATAAGGAGGATATAATGTTGGTTGATCATTGCCTAAGTAAATATATGACATGTCACACGTATTAAGTGGTGGCAAGTCGCGTGAATAATGGGTCATGTCACATATACTAGAATATGGTGACAATGTACCTAGTTATGAGAGTTAGAGATGTTATTTAACAATAAACAACAAGAAATGATATATGTTAACATGTTTTATATACTTGATTTCCTTATGCATGTATTTAGTTTATAATTTATATATAATTGCATAGGGTAGGTTTAACCTTGGTTAGTAAATGGCTAGATTTACCCTTTCTATTTAACATTTTTCAAGCTCTAACTTTGGTGTTGAGAGAGAGAAGGCTAAAGAGGTAGGGAATTAGCATATTCCTACTATATGCCTCTAGTTTAGATTTAATTGTGCAATAGTATATGAATTGCCAATTCTAAGATGCATGTAAACATACTTGCACTATTTTGTTGTTGGAAAAGTTAGATTTGTATTTTGGGCCCTTAATCTTTATGTATGTTGATATATATATATATATATATATTTATAGGGCTAAAATACTAGTGCAAGTGTAAAAATAACAATTTGAACATATTTTGAATGAGTTGGGCAAGATATAATGACAAATTATCTCCCCATCTGTTTTTGGTAAAATGGGGTTGAAGAGTGAATTTTTGTTATACTGAGGCTTTGATGCTTGTAATATGTTGTATTGGTAGTCCTAGGTCCATTGGACATGGTCTACGTGTTAGAAAAAGCTTTTGACACTTGTGGAAGGTTTTGGACACCCATTTTGTGTAAAAGTGTTGAAAAGTGGTTTAAATATGTTTGGGTGTTCAACTTCTTAGTGTGACATGTTTTGAAAATGAAACCCATGCCATTAGCTAGTTCATGTAAATAGCTTTCTGTAGACACCTAGATCACATCATTCGGGCGACGGATGAAGAATTGGGGCGAGTTGAAAATTCCTTAATTCTACTGTCAAATGATAGCAG